AATTATCTTTATTTTCAGTGACATATATAGAGTGGATAATACCTCCCTCTGAAATCCCAGAATGATAAAAATATAAAAAGGAAAAAAACATAAAACCAAAATAGATATATTTTTACTTATAGTTACTAAACATTTGGTCTAAATATTATACCGTACTAAAGTAATCGCTAGTTGCATATCAAAATTATAGACCAAAATACAATAGAATAGCTCTCTCGCAGGTGTCGCTTATGACGAAAAAACCAAATACAAAAATCTCTTACAAACAAAGAGATTTGTAAGGTCTGCTAATTCGATCTTGTAGTTTCAGTTGGTAGAGCGGTGGCCCTGGTTTGGCGCCGACTTAGGTTCGAATCTTGTCAGATCGAAGGCATTTTTCTTTATGTTCGATCTTTATATTCATAAATTATAACAAACTAGTGGACAAATTCTACAAAAAGAAATGAATATGATGACAGTTAAACATCATGCGCAGCTTTCAAGTCACCGATGTAGCTCAAAGGGTCAGCAAGTCGAAGTGGCAGTGGGCACGGCACATAGCTCGTAGAACTGACGGCCGTTGGGGCAGAAAGGTTCTTGGAATGGAATGGAGACCGGAAGGCGTTCAGTAGGACGGCCCCCTGCTAGATGGACGGATGACCTGGTAAGGGCGGCGGGTAACCGATGAATGAACGTCGCGTCCAGCCGGCTAGTCTGGCAATCTTTGACGTCTTGATATGATGATGAAAACATCATGAATATTCAATAAAAATCAGTATAGCAGCACAATCAGTCCGGGATTTACGAGGTAATCCCCTCTATACAAATAATTTAGGTAAATATTTATTGTTGGTTTTAAATTTAATTAACGAAATAACCTTTATGGTACATAAAAAATATATTGAAGAAGATAATTAAAACAGTCAGCTTTAACGCTAAGTAGCAATTATTTCTGGTGAATTTAGGATAGAAAATTAGGAATTGTAAATAACATTATCTATGATAGTGTGTTAAATATATATTGTATTATGATTGTTGTATTTAACAAGTATAGTTATAAACCTTTTAAATGTTTCTAAATCAATTTCATTTCGAGCTTTTTACGGGTCCCATGGTCACTACTAAATGAGTAAATGAGATGGTAATTATCAACTAGTTATGTCTAATATTAATGCAAATCACCTTATTTATCACTATAGGTACAAAATTTCGTAAAATGCAAGCATTATTGCGTTCCAGATTTGAAGGGTAAGATTGCTGGTGAAATTACATATGAGACTAGACTTATGTCTCAGGGTGACGGGCGCAGTGATCTTTGAGCGGTAGTTCAACTGTTATGGACAGGCGTGACGCTTTTTTTTTTTTGATAATACTAAGTGACGAGACGAACAAGTCGTATGCCTGGTGGTAAGCGACACTCCTGTCCCTAACTGTTACAGTGCCAGTCAGAGCTTTCAATCGCAAAGATCTGAGGGGCACTGCCACTGCTGACCACCAGACGCACTACTTGTTCGTTCACAAAAAAAATTTTTTGGAGTCAAGTTTTATTACTCTGATTGTTTTTCTGTCTGCGTTTGTCTTTGTACCGTTGTACCGGTCTTAATTACTTATCTTTAACACCATATACATATTCATAAGAGGCCGCTACTGTTTTCTCGGCAAACATTGAGAAGGACCTTGTCCTGGAAATTTCCAGTAAATAAATCTTCATAATTCTTGGAAAGCTTCCGGCGTAACTGTCTCAGTATAACAACCAGTACCTAGCAGTGGAACATGGGATTGTGGCATATGAAAGCTTAGCTAACACTCCAGCCGCCTGGCGAATTGCCAACGTAGCGTACGCTGCCATCACATGATATAACGGCATCGCGACTTTCATAATAAAACGTTGTACTAATTACGTTACTTTAGTGTATAAATTCATAATGATACAAATAGATAACACACATTAAAGCGTGAAACACACTGACAGCTGTTGCGGGTCGGGCGCGTGTCGGTTCGGGTGCACGACGGGTGTAATATGCACGACGACACAACACGAGCGGACGCGGAACCCGACACGCGCCCGACTCGCACCCGTTCTCAGTGTGTATCACGCTTAACACCTAAGATAAAAGGACTAGGCTCCCTTAAATCTATTAAATGGACCGGGGCAGATTGCCCAAAATGCTGACACCGTTTGCCCTTTATATGGCTATGATAATATGTTTGTAAGATGGATTCAGCCCTTGGATATTCCAGGCGGTCCATTAAGTTTTCGAATATAATTTTGTAGAAAGAAAGGCTACTAAAGGCGCTACGAACACGCAGATGTAAGGTCTGCAAAATATGGGCAAACATAAATACCACAAAGTTAGTTCGAGTACATTGACAATTGTACCTTACCTTAACCTAAGAACTCGAATTGTACCTTTTTCATAAAAAAAAAACAACTTCAAAAGTTTTTGGAAACATCTATTTGCCAAGTTTTGTTGAAAACGGTTAACGTAAAGTGGTTGAAATCCAATAAACCTCATTTATCCTCTAATTTGCTACCCTTAGAGGTGGCATATTTTCTTCAAATTTAAATGGGACCAATACTGATAACGCCCTTTCCAACAAAAAGATTATCATCAAAATCTGTTCACGAATATAAACAAGATAGTAAACGAATACACGAGTAACCGCATAACATACACACAAAGTAATCCCAGTACAGAGTACTAAAAAAACAGACCCCAAAAGTACGTGGAATTACATATAAATACCAAGTTTTTTTTTAAATCGGTTACTGGAACGTGCGCAAACCCGGATTCACCCCCTGGTTCGCCACCATACGGGACTTGACACAGGAGATAATAAAAAACGGGTCTCACTACTTAACATATATTGAGAGAGAAAAGCACCTTGAATTGGAGAATATCAAAATCAACCATTAAAATAATTGCTGCTTATAATAAAATTTAGGCGCTATTTATAAAAATGAATCTTCATGCGTGAACAGCCACCCTTAGAGGTGGATGATTTACTTTAAACTTAAATGGAACCACTATGGAGGTACCCTCTTTCCAACAAAAAAAGAATCATGATAATTATAGTTCACAAATACCGGAGTTATCGGGAAACATATATTCAAAAAAAAAAGTACAGTCGAATTGAAAACCTCCTCCTTTTTTTGAAGTCTATTATTAAAAATGCAGTCGAATTGAAAACGTCATAAAAGTCGGTTAAAAATATATGCTACGCTTGCTTAGCATCTTCTGGTTTCTCTCCTCTACGCCTTACAATTTCGTAAGCTTAAGTTTTTATCAACCTATGTACGTCCTATTGCCGAGCACGGGTCGCCTCTATGGACAGCCATTAAACCATTCTCCGTCAGTGTCCGATGTTGGACGAAAACTTAACCTGGCTTTGCAGAAACAGTAAATTTAAATATTTATTGATCAAATGGACAAACCAGTAACTAAAACTCTAATATTTTTAAAAGATGATTTTAAAATTCCACCCGTAACTAAAAATCTTTTTATTAAAAAAGGAATACCAAAAGCCGCAAAAATCTCCGTTAAATTAATCAGTCAAAACAATCGGGCTTATCTGCGTCATATTGAAGAGCGGTCTCACCGCATTGAAAAATTTCCACCCACTGAAATCTACCTCAACCTTGTGCCACCGGAATAAGGGTGAGTCTCTAATATGGATTTAATGGCAGAACGAATAAGTATAATGTGACTCGCTCGGTTTTAGACCCTATTTTTATGTCCTAAAGGTTGCTCTCGTATTTTGTATAGAGTAAGCAGGCCGGTCGTTGCCCCGGTTCGGAAACTACCCTCGTTTCGAGGTTCCATTTGTAACACTCTGGGTAAACTTCGTATTTTTCGTACTCGCTAATACCGATTTTTCGACCTGATAAATTGAATTCGTTTAAAGATTCTTACCTGCCTATAAAAAAGGCGTTCTTAGTTCGTTTGTGCCATTAAAAACAAATCGAATCCGATTTTATAATTACACGGATACCATTGATTATTTATTTCGTATTCAGCGTGGACCGTACCTATAGTCATACATTTACTTAAAATACTACACGCTTTCAAAAATTTCCACATTTACGCAGTTCATAATAGAAAGCAACTACGTAAATCCGTATCCGGTGTCTACAATAATTCTACGTATCGGTTATTTTAGTACCATTATTAAACTATATTTTTACCAGCGACACTACGTGGTAATACACACTGCGACATTATTCGGGGAAATCTTACAAGGTTGTTCGGGGAAAGTGAGGCATAGTAAAGTGTATGTAAAAACAATTGCAGTATTGACCTCGCGGCGGCGGAGGCGTCTTAGCGGAGGGATGCTGTGTTTTACCGCATTATTGGGGCGCCCCGAGAGCGAGATGGAGTATCGCAAGGCACATGTGTTAGTAAAGGACCCGGCACAGTCACGCTATACGTGCCACATCCGCGCTGCTGACTTATTTTATTTCGTATTCTCTAAATTAAATATCAAGAAATGTGTAGTGGCACTGCGATTGACCTAGTATGTTTAGGAATGCTGCGCAGTTTCAGCAATTTGTTGTAGCAGATTTTATTTACCATTGGGAGTTGGGTATAAATATGCCTTAGTTTCTGATGGTTAAATCCTATAGCAGAGTGTTGTGTTGTATTTCCCGCAGTAAGCATGTGATTTGACTGGCATGAGGCTAGAGAATGGCGCGCGTGCTACGATCACTGCCAGCTTGAGCATACACACGACATGCTGTGGTGTGGGTACGGGTAGACATTGTACGTGACAATCGACGTCAGGAAACAGCCCTAAACTACATTACGCCCAAAATGTACATTGTTCATCGGCCTTCAAAATTGTACAATGCCATTACTGCCGTGTATACCTGTCTATGTTATAACGCTAGCGGTAACATTGTCGGCAATCTTGAAATTCGAGTCCCTTATCGGACGCGACAATAACGTTCGGGAAGGCTGTAAACTGCGTAGTTAGGTGTTCGCAAATAGCGCGCAATTAACATTACTTCTTGTTTGTTCCAGGTTGCAAGATTAAAGCGCTGCGGGCAAAGACCAACACGTACATCAAGACGCCGGTCCGAGGGGAGGAGCCGGTGTTCGTGGTCACCGGCCGCAAGGAGGACGTCGCGCGCGCCAAGCGCGAGATCCTCTCGGCGGCTGAGCACTTTTCTCAGATTCGTGCGTCGCGCAAGTGCGGCGCGGCGCCGCCGCCTCCCGCCGGCGCTCCCGGCCACGTGACTGCGCAGGTGCGTGTGCCCTACCGCGTGGTGGGGCTGGTAGTTGGTCCCAAAGGCGCTACCATCAAGCGCATCCAGCACACCACCCACACCTATATCGTCACGCCGTCGCGTGAGCGCGAGCCCGTGTTCGAAGTAACAGGGTTGCCTGAGAGCGTGGAGGCAGCGCGCAAGGAGATCGAAGCGCACATCGCGCTGCGCACCGGCTCGGCCGGGGGGCCCAACGGCGCCGCCGAGGGCGAGCCGCTAACGCAGCTGTATCGCGCGGGACTCGCGTCGCTGCTGCGGCCCGAGCAGGAAGCAGCTTTCTCGTCGGCCGGGTCGTGCTCGTCGGGCGGTTCATCGGCGCGGCTCGGAGACTTGCTGGGTATTTGGTCATCCACCGAACGCGACGAGGGCCTGGGCGAGTCGCCGTCGTTCGAGTCGCCGGGCGGAGCGGCGTCAGTGTGGGGCTGGGGCCCAGCGCGACCGTCGCCTGCGGCGTCTCCGGCTCGCGCATGTGCCGTATGTGGCGAGCGCGGAGTGGCGGCGGCGCTGGTGCCATGCGGCCACAACCTGTTCTGCTTGGAGTGCGCGCAGCGGCTGGCCTCGGCTGCGCAGCCCTGCCCCGCCTGCGCCGCGCCCGCACACTCCGCCATCCGCATCCTGTCGTAAGCGGCTGCGCCTGCGGGGGTCGTCGAGTCGCACGTTTTTTCTATGGATCGATCTTTTTTACTTAAATCGTTATAAAAATATTAAAAAAATAAAAAATCGCGTAATCGAAATCCTGGTGCCAAAAGTCGGCGCCTCGCCGGCACGGCCCGTCCGCCGCGCCGTACCTATCGTAAGTCGGCAGAGTTATTCACGATATATTTTCTTATTATGAACGTTTTTTATTGGATGGCCGGGCGCCACCGCCCGGCCGCCGCAGAGAGAGTCGAGTACGTTACGATAGAATTTCGAAAAAAATGCATAAAATTTAAAAAAAGTTGTATAATTATTATTGATAGCATAAATGAGAAATCGAAAATTTATAAAGCTTACCTAACGTAATAGCGTAAAGTATTAAGATATTATTATAATGTATGATAGGCGAAGACGGGCGGCGCGGGGAGCGTCGCGCGGCTGTCTGTTCAGAGTCTAGTAGTGAATGTGTTGTGTGCACGAGGTCGCATCGCGCAGTGCAGTGTGGCGCCGCCCTTACGCGGTGCGGGGTGCGGCGCCTAGGTAATGTGTTGTTAGGTAATGAGTGTTGTTCGGCCGCGGAGTGCTGGTGGTGTTGCGCCAAGCCCCGCTCGCTCCCCCGCGCGCCATGCTCACATTATTTTTGACTATACGATTATTCGCTTAAATGATATTATACATACGTACACACTATGATTATGATAATATTAATATAATGTTTGTTTTAAGTGTGTTTTAATGTTTAGATTTTTATTGTAATGTTTTTATGGATGATTTTTATCTGTATGATTATTATTATTGATTATTATTTTATGTGTTGACGATGTTTTTTTGTGATTCGAGCGCCCGCGCGCGCCATGTAGCCTCTTCGTATAAGCGAGGCGCGCGCGCCTCTCCCGCACGGAGGTGACGTAGTCTGTGTAAGTAACGTGACGTTGTGCTGTATGGCGTTGTAGGTTGACAGGGAGAGGCGGTGCACGCGCGCGGGCCGAGGCTGCCGTATGCTCGTTTAGTGTTATGATATCGAGTAATAAATCTAAAGTAATAAATGATTAAAGATAAAGGAATAATAAACGACTCATTTATAATATTAAACCGTAGTCTGTAGCACGACATTGACTAACCATTACCTATTGATACTTATTAAGTATTATTATTATATTGAATAAATTTAAAGAATGCATAATTATATTTCATAGGAATCATTATTCTGTATAACTCTAGTTAAATATTAATATGATAATAATAATAAATATTATTGTATATGTATCGGCGAACGTTGTTGCGTTGAGTTCACCGGGGGCCGGTTTTATGGATTGATATTTTTTTATTTTTTTACAGTTATTCATTTTTTGACTTACCCATGTAAAGAGACGCGAGGATGTAACTGCCTATTAGATTATATTTTAAAAATAATGGTTGCGTAAAATCAGCCCCCGTCGTGTGTAGATCCAGTGGTTTCGATAATTTTATTTTCATAATAAAATGGGTAGACGCTTTAGGTTCAAATAACGTTGTGAAAATTTGTGAAATTTTGTAGACTACATATCTTATTATAAATCTAATATAAACTATAACTTTCGATTGAACATCTTTTATTTACCTTCTTTTAGTACAGCACGTGAAACTTCCACATTTTCGAAGTTTAAAAGGCTTTTTTCATTTATTATGAAAAACAAAACTAATTAACAGTAGTTCTTAAAAGTAACTTACCTACTACATTCCCTTTAGGACGCGTTCTTTTCACGTCGAGACGACAGATAGTCGTACAGTTTAAAGTGTCGTGACTTGTATATTTAAATGAAGTTATTCACATACAGTAGTACAACACGATTAACTGTTGTTCACACTTTTTCGGCGACAAATTGTCGTGACAATGGGGAGAACTAAAACGACAGTCGTCCGATGATAAATAAAATGTCACGATAAATATGTGACGATATATAATCGCAGCTTCAAACGTTTCCGTCGTGCAAATGACAAGGCAGCTGCCGTGAACCGAGAAATTGTTGCCACGATCTAGTGGGAACAGCTAGACACGACAGTCGTTCAACGATAAAATAAACATTACGACTTAATGGGAACGCGCCCTTAACGGGCTACAGTCATCCCACAGCATTACACGCTATTACTTGATACAGTAACAAATTAGTAATTCTTAAATAAATTTAAAAAAAATGTAAATTTCTTCTTCAAAGGAGGTTTTGAATTTGATTTTACGGTATTTATTTTATGCCATCATATTCACATATTTTTGTAGATACACCACTAGCAAATGAAACTATTTTTTTCGGATCTAAATCTCGTATATTGTTTTTTTCAAACAGACCAATGTTTCGGGCCCTTTACAGGTCCCATGGTCACGGCTGACTCATGGTCAGATAACCGAAAAAATAGTTTCATTTCCTATGTGTAACAATCGCGAAAACCTAAGAACTCGATAAATACACCACTAGTTAGGGGTTTCTTTTTTTTTATTAAAAAATAAGTGCACATTACATCTCCATCCCATCTGACGGAAGGTGACGATAAGGTCGATACAAAGATCGAAGAAACACAAAGAATTTAAATAAATAAATTAATTCTGACTAATTAGGCTCAATTTACCTTGCGGCGAAAGGGGATGGAAGCGAACTTATATAACGACATTGTACGTAGCATAATGAACTTTGTGGTCAATTCTGTAACGTACAAACTAGAATACGAGCCAAAAATCACGTCGTGCGTCTTCCGAGAACGTTCGCATTCATTCCATTCTGCGGCAATGTAAATTGTACTATACTTGTAATTGAAAAAATTGACTTTTTGTGCATTGCTTAGCGATTATAGTTATGCTAGTTTTTCCTGCAGCAGGGAGCGAAAGTGGTAACCATTGCCAGAATTTCACGTGCAAAATTATACACAAAATGCATGCCGATAACGTACAATTTACATTTTAAAAGGTTTCGTTAACGATAACCCAAAAAATTGAATCATACCCAGCATACATGTTTTTTGTATTCAATTTTGCACGCGCTGGAACGAGTTAAATGGTTAACTGTTACGGTCACCGTGCTGCAGCTTTTACCACTTTCTATAATAGCATGCTGACGAAAATTCGATTTCCACATGCAATATATAAGGACCAATATGAAAAGTTTTGCAAAAGAAAAGAAATATGACTCGGAAATGAAACATTTTTTTCCGATGTAAATCGGAAAATGAAACTATATTTTTCTATACCCGAATCGCGTATAGTGTTTTTTCAAACAAACCAACGTTTCGGGTCCTTGCAGGTTTCGGGTCTCGGTAATTAATAACTTTTGTAACTTATAGTTCAGATTAGGGTGGTTTACATTAATATTATAACTGATTGATTACTTTATTTGGTAGCGGTCATTGACTTACAATTATATGGACGTCGGGTCCGCGTTAAAAAGTGTCCGCACTTGTAAGGCGCTAAAATCGTATACAGAGCGCCAAACTCCGCTTTAGTCTTCATTTGTTCGACTGACAGCGCGATACTGCGATGACATTACAATTTAAATTTCGAATAGGTTGACTTGGGACATTTTTTTCGTGGTTTTTGTATTAGACCCGTCGTCCATTTATTTGTAAGTCAATGGTAGCGGTAGAGCTTCTTGTGAAAGAGTTAGAAGTACTGCCACCTTATCTATGATGAGACTGATAATCTGCTTAAAATCGTCAAATAATCTCACGCGTACACACTCACACGCACTTACACACATACACATTCACATACAAGTACACATACCCACGCTTACACATATAAAATTTCTTTTAGTTATTGTTTAGGTATAAATTATACATTTCCTCAATACTTTTATAGTCAATACCACTAAAAATGACATCCTAGGTGTTGGGAGTTTGGAGACCCATATTACAAGCTCTGCTAAGTTTGGGCTCCAGTTTCCCACAATTCATTACTCTAAGCGTATGTAATAATATGTTCTCTACTAATGTAATGTTACTTTGCTTGTATTGTGGAGATGAATAAAGATTATATTATTATTATTATTGTCTATTTCTGTCGCCACACAGTAAAGTGAGCATTACTTTGTTTCGTTTTTGAAAGGATGCTGGTGGAATTACTGGCACGTGGGGCTTGTCAACTTATGTCTTAGGGCGACGGGCGCAGTGGCAGTGCCACTTAGTTCTTTGTGATTTATAGCTCTGAGTGGCACTGCAACTGTCGTGGACAGGACGCACGACTTACCGCGGCGCCACTTGGTGTCATAAAAAAAACTATCTCAGGGACCTGTAATGGGCCCGATGTTTTGGTTTGTTTGAAAAACAAATATAGAATACGTTTAGCTTCCGTAAAAACGTAGTTTCACACCAAAGTGAAGCAATCGCGAAAGTCTAAGAACTCAAAAATATAAATTATTTTGTGATATCATTTCACATGTTAATACGCGTAACTGCACTATAGTTACCAACTCTAGTATTAGTTATAAATTACCCGTTATTTGTTTGCTAGTATTTCTTTAAGAAGTTGAGAAAAATTCATTTCAAGCAAGTTAATAACATAAAAACACCACTTTCTTATCGAGCCTGTAAGAAGAAACAACAAACGCCTACTAACATTTCCAACGCCACTTTATACGCGCAGAAGAGGCTTATAATAAGTGAGAGGTTCATGAGGGCGATGCCCTCTCTAAGGCTGTCGCAGAATCGGGTCACCGCGGCCCTACCTACCCTTATTTTTGTTACGTCATACAATATATCGTTTCTCCTGATTTACTTGTCACAAACTGGCGTTGGCATATTTTTCAGGGCGACGACTGGTATTTTAGGCTTAGGACCTCACATGTTGAGCTTTACTCGTGTCAATCTCGTTCTTTCAATTTATTTATATTCATGTAAAGAAAACAGACATAGACGATTAAACTAAATTCAGACTCAATGAATCTTTATTTAAATGGCAAGCAAATTACACTTTTTTTGTGATACCAAGTGGAGTAAGCGACTCGCCTGTTCATAACAGTTGCGGCACTGCTCAGAGCTTTGAGACATAGTTATAAACTAAAGTAACTAAAACAAAAATGTTCGTCACTATTTTTCATAAAAAATACTATTGGTAAATTTTCATAAATTTACTGTGACACTAATGTTCGCTTTTGATGGCCGAGTAAAGCCGGGTACTCATTAGCGAGCTGTAACTGTAAAGTAACTGATATAGTAACGAGATTCTAGTGTGTACGCTTGAAACAGTCTTCAATCAGACGGCTCACAGCCAGCCGCACGCGTTCCGCTCGCGGCAAACTCGCGAACGTACACACTATGATTTTTCGTAACATAACATGAAACGGTTACGGCTACAGCTCGCTTGTGAGTACCCGGCTTTGGGTCGTACGTCTTACTCAGTTACACAGTTACAACACAAATGTCAGTTACGTCAGTTAGAGGGAGAAGGGACGATATTAACTACTTTTTACGTCAAATGATTAAAGTTGACATCATAGAATCACTTGGGCCTGCGCAAACTGGCGGACGGGCAGGCAGCGGATATCAAATTTATCAATGTATATTTTATGCTATATTTCAATTGAAATAAGATTTTATATTATGTTACTTTTATATTATATTGGATAACATCTCATACGTTGTTCTGATTCCAAAGTAAGTAGCGAAAGCACTTGTGTTATGGAAATCTGAAACAACGACGGTGCCACAAACGTCCAGACCCGAGACAATATAGAAAAATTTGTTTCTACATTGACCCGGCCGGATCAGGAGGCAAAGGCCTTCCACCTGTGCCCAGCAGTGGGATATATCAGGCTAATTGTAATAATCTAATGTCACTCCCAAATGTTAACTGTATTTGATAACATTAGAATTGAAAGTTTTTAAAGTTGCAATATGATTTATATTAACAAACTACCACGCCTGTCTCTCACTGGAGTAGGCAGAGACAATGACCCCTCACCCTCTATGATATACCTCTCGCGCTTCCTTTGCTTACTACTACTACTTACTTACACAAGCGATATTGAACCATTTAAAAAGGTCAAAGTACAAAAGGTAAAGATTTACCATGATTGCAATTTTGTTATGCATATATTGCTATGTCACGTTTATATTCATATATTAGTATCATCTGATGATCCCAATCATCACTGCTGGATTTGGACTTCCTTGAATAGCGCCACAACGAGTTAAGTATGCTTATGTTTTAAGAAAAAGGTTGACCTAACTTTTTTTTTTTTTTTTTATACATGACAGGCAAATGACTCCACTCCACCTGATGTTAAGTGGAAAGTGGTTTAGCAAACTTCCGCTTTAGCAATCAAAACAGTCAATTAAATAATAAAAAATTACGAATAAATCCGTAAATAAATTGATTTTATGCCTAAACTTTATATAACATAGGTTGTTATAACAAAAGCAATAAAGAACAAAGATAATCACCTCATAAACTCCTCCAGTAAGTAACTAAAACAATAAACTGAATACAATGTTCGCCTGTACGAGCGAACGTATCGTAGCGGCTGCTACGAACGTAGCACGTAGCCACTACAATGTCGCCGACACAGGCTTTACGATCTTCGCAGCAACCGGTGTGGAATATTACTCGGGAACAAAGCTTATAAATGCATACATGTCAACGTTCTGCGTAATTATATACTTACAATTTCCTAAAAACTTGTCACGTACTCTACAATATAGACCAGGGCCGCAGCGTCGTCTCGA